GAGAACAGAGGATGAGGCGGCCACAGGAGCTCAGGCCGACTCGGGAGAAGCCTCGTGGGGCCGAGAGCTGTGAACAGGTAAAACGGTGAAGCACTCAAAAGGGGAGCACAGGGGAGCAAAGGGGATTAACTACCAGAACACGAACCAGCACAAGAACACAGTGTCAGAACAAATTATCCAAAGGAATAAAAAACTTACACTGGCTGCTGGGAGGGGTGGTAGCGGTGGGAGGCACCCCCCTCCCCTCCTGCAGCAGGTACGTGGGGCCCACGCTCACCAACTCATTTACGCTGACAGCTTGTGCTGGCACGAAAATCTCTTTGGTCCTGCGGAGGATCCGAACGGCAGGAGGACACTGATCCACGAGTCTCCTGGCCCAGAGTCAACAGCACTGCGGAAGAAGCACCACATGTTTTCAGAAAAGAGTGTTTCCTGCTGGAAAACTGAAATAGTCACAGAATCAGAGAACGGTTGAGGCTGGAAGGGCCCTCTGGAGGTCACCCCCTCAGGCAGGGGCACTGGGAGCCAGGTGCCCAGGAACACGTCCCGATGGTAAAGTTTACTGTGGTTTTTTTCCCTATGAAAATTAAGTATCATAGAACAAAAATCAATTATTTAATCTGCAAACTAACACGGTTACGCCGGGTGCTCCATGTATATAGCATTTTATTGAATGAAGGTATATTACATTAGACAAACATATATTACACATGCTATACAAAATATACATTCTTATGTGAAAAAAATATAAATAGACACTAGGAAACAGCAACAGGGGCAAAAGCAGCTTTGCTCACGCTGTCCTATGACCCCCCAGCTCCTGCACCGTTAGCACTTTGGCTTTGATCGAGGAAACCATTTGCTCACCGAAGACAGAACGGCCGCTCTGTCCGATCTGCACCTCCTGGAGGAAAGGGGAAGGAAGACAGACCTGATTTTTTCTGCAAGCCTAGGAAGTTTTTTCACAATGCTAAGCACAGCAAGGTGTTCACCTACTTACAAGCTTCAGCTATTTACAACCAGCTTATGGACTTTAAAGAGACACCGTGGCTCACGGAAGGATGCAGATGTCCTAATTCATAGCGGCAGCTCTTGTCTGCCAATCTCCTGCAGAAATCAGTGCAGCTTCAGCTCCTGAACGCCTTCAAGAGCTAGTGCTTCAGCTTGTTCTGGTGCAGGGAGCACCAATCTGAAAGCCTTGGTCCTGGCCAAGCACGCCGTACCTCCCGAAAGGGAACGCAACCGCCCCGAGCACACCTACGTCTGGACAGCCACAGCCGTCCGGCGACAGACCTGTACCAGCGCGACTCCGCAGAGAAGGGGGATGAACGCAAACGGACCCGCCACCTGCCCCGCGGTGCCGGCAGACAGCAGCAGCGGGGGTGCTGTTTTCCCACCAGCGGGGAATCGTGGCTCTGCACGTGCCAAGCAGCACTGCCACGGCAGCCTGGGCGACTCCGGAGGACGCAGCGAGCAGCCCAAAAGGATGAGGCTTTTCTGCTGCTGTAGTTTCATGACGTGACCTTTCTCATCTGGATTTAAACTGACAGTACTGGGCTCCTGCAACAGACACAACTCTGGATTGAAAATAAGCGCCATGTCCTAACCGCTGTCTGGAAAGGAAAAGCCTCAAGGAAATAAAACCAGAAAGGAATGAACTTAAGGTTCTTCTTTGAGCACATATGTCATTAAAACATTTCAGATGTCAGAGCCCAAAAAGAGCTGAACACACCTGTGTTTCTCTCTGCTTTATGCAAAGGTCAAGGACAATTGGATCCGCTCCCCACTAAAGCTGCTGGCTATCAAAGCAGTCACAGTTGCTTTGAGAGCGTGGTTAAGAGCCCTTGATAATTTGCTCATTTGCATAGATCTGACTGTTATTCACGCTCAAAGAGCTGTGGGAAAATAATCATCATTCCCAGCGTTTTGCCACTCACTCAAATAACCCGGTCTCAAAAGTTTCCGCCGTCACTGCAGGACTGATCTGATGCTCCAGTCACCTACCCTTCCATCGAGGGCCAGTCTCACACACCTCCCTCGCCAAAAAGGTTTTCCTGTCCTTACAAAACCAAACCACGCAGCTGTTTTCATTCTAGGACGTATCCTACGGTGCGACAAAAACACCCCAACGACTAGGAGGAACAGCCTGTGCTCTTCAGGCTGAAGCTGCCAGCGCTGAGCACAACACACTCGCTCGGACCCATCACCGCTGAGTGTTTAACCCCTTCCGCACAAAGGTGCATTTTCCCAGAACAAACTTCTCGGGAGTCTTTATAATGTTCTTCCTCCTAGTTTTGTCAGGCACATCCCACCATAACTAATGAAGTCTGCGCTTCCTCCGCCGTAGCGAGGACTGGATTTTCAACGCTGCATGGTTCCCTGCACCTTGCTTCATTTCTCACCTCTCAAACAGTTTTGGCCTCACTGAGGTCCAGGGAACTATCAGAGAGTTCAACAGGGCAACAATTCTGCCTGATACCTTACAACAGAAAAGGACACAAGTGTTTTAAACTACATACGCCTCTTGGCTGTGCAGAGGAAACGGAAAATCCACAGTACAGCCCACTAAATATTTATCAAATGCTCTCCCAGTTTATCCCGTGCTTTTCATCACAACATTCTCTAAGTGGCAGCTAGGAAAAACACACGGAGACCTCTCTGCTGCATACACAATACAAAGGCTTTTTCTAAAAGAGAAAAGTTTATCTGAAACTTCTGAAACAAACCACTCAAAACCCCCATCTTACAGCTCCTCCCAGATGAGCAGAAGGAAACGTTTTGCGTATTGTTCTTTCTGTTTGCTGTCCCCAAGAACTTCTGGGAGCCGGGATACGACGGCCTGGAACAGAGGGGAGCACTGCTGTTAACGCAGGCTCTGGCGGGCTTCAGGCTCTCCCGACCAAGACGGGTCCCTCCTACAGAGTGAGGTTACGGATTCTCCCAACGCTTGAAGGGGTCAAACTCGGAATCCTGCTACGGTCAGGAAATGGATCAGCTCGCAGACAGGTCAGCCAGGCTTAACGCACACCCAGTCGTATGTCACAACGAAATTCATCGACATCACAGTTTCACCACGTACCTACAGTAAATTAACTTCTTTCCAAAACAATGAGGACAGCTCTCACCCCTCAGAAACAAGCTTCCAGTCCCACCAAAAAGACCCCATATGGCTTGATACGCAGCTGTCAAGACTAACGGTATGATACATACTTTGGCATAATAAAAAATATATTTACAGTATGGCAAACATTTATATGCTTAGTGTATATAAAATATTTATAAATGCAAATTTATTTACAACTAGAGTCCATTATTCATAGGAGAAAACAAGCCCCAAAGTTAGACTGGTAACAGACGCCTGCCAACAGTCTAAGGAACAAAAAGCTGGCCAAGAGTTTTATGCTTACAGTTACGGGGGAATTCCACGAGGAGGCCCTGAACGTTCGCTCTCAAGCGGAGAACGCCGTGTGAAATAGCCACGTGTTCTGGAGGTTTTCAAAGCGCGCCCCAACACAAAGGCTGCTTCCAACATCCCAAAATCCAGGTTTCCACGCTATTCTTGTAGACACCGCTCATCATCCACGTGTCCTCTGCTGCACCTTCCCATTCTCCAGTACACAGAAATCCCAGGAAGAGGGGCACACGCCACCTCCTCCTAGAGCCGACTGTTCCGTCAGCCGGTAACTGCAGACACACGTACACAAGCACCTTTGGCCTTGGGGCTGGTCCTGAGGTAGTAAATACGAAAAGTCAGTCGATAGGGATTTGCTTTCAAGACTTCATTTTGGTGTCTGACGGGGTTTCACTATAGTCATGAATGCTCCGTGTCCTGTTAAAATCAAAGTTGTGTTCGCGCAACCTGTGGCAAGGCCTGGGCGAAGCAGCTTGTTCCCGGTCACTGTCAACAACGCCCTCGCTTCGGAGAGGCCGTGGGGTCTCACGGGCTGACTGCTGATGCAGAAAGTGTGAGCGAGAGAGCGCTAGGTCTTTGTTTACTCCCCATAAAGGAAGCTGAAAAGGTTCTGAGGAAGAAAAATTAGAAGATAATGAACAGGATTGAGTTGACTATAAACATTCAAATTTTAGACAGAGTTTTTGAGTTGTGTAGCTCAGCAGTAACTGTCTTTCTGAGGTTATTTTCTCTGGTTTTGAGTCATGTTTTACTGGATGCTCTCCCTTTTCAGCAACGTTACAGTAACCAGAAATAACACAGTTGTTTCAATGTCAGTTTTAAAAAGGCTACCTGGAACAAAGTCAACATAAACCCAACCAATTAACAAACAAACAAATTAACAAACAACCATCTTCTGGAGTTCTTTGAAACCTGGGCCAGCTCAACCAGAAGGGCTGTTTGATTTCTTTATGTGAAGCTTTAACTCTCGGCTACACATGGCCTTGAAGCACATGCAAAGGATTGCATGCCACAGGCTTTAAGAGCCAACCTGCAGATTAAGAAATACCATCTTTCCAACATCACCCTCTTCAGCTCTGGGGCGCTGGCTGCAAACCGAGGGCTAGTTCTGAGGACAAGCGGTTAATGAACAGCTGCGCTACTCCACAAACTACCGTCACTCGAAGAATCGGCCGCGTGTCAGTCGTGAAGGGCAGCACAAGGAAGGGCAGAGTTATCAGGGAACACGAAGCCACAAAAGGGAGAAGGGGACACTCACCATTAATCTGCTGGGGGGAGATTTTCTTTTCGCTCATTTTGTCGTGGTTGGTAAGGAAGACAGACATGTCTCTGTCCGCCAGGAGATTATCAAGAGCACTGGTTTCATGCTGCATACGTGCTGTATACGTTTCCTTAGGCATCTGCACCATGAGATTGGGGAGAGTTTGATCCAGGGGGTCCTCCTCTGCGATGTAGGCATAGGGACAGTACTCTCGTGTCCTGGAGTAGATGTTTGCATTGTCGTAACAGTCCGAGCAGATCACCAATGGCGCCGCGCCACCTGATGAGCACGACAGAAAACCAAAACATTCTCAAAGAGGATAAGGGTGCTTGATTCCCACAGGCTCTTTCAGGTCTCAGTATGATCAGGTGCTCCAGTGGCACAGTTTGAAGGGCCTTTATGCAGTTAAGGTGGTAACAGACTACCCAGTTTGCCTGTTTACTGATGAAGTCACCCAAGAAATGCTCTAGGCCGCCCACCATCCAAACTCCCAATAGCACCGCCCTTCTGAGGCTGCCCAGGGGAAAACCACAGACAAGCGAAAGTGGCCCCGTTTGCTCTCCTGTTTCAAAAAGGGTTCATGCAGGTCCAACCAGCTGAAACAGCCCCGGAACCGAACCGGGATCGCCCATCCGCATCGGCTTATGCCTCTGCACCAGGCTCGTGCCCGGCAGGCTGCACTCCTCAGACCAGGTGACAAAGTGGTCACTGAGATGAGCCGCTCCCCGACTCCTTCCTGACACAGCCTCTAGTGTAGGAGGACCAGACCAGAGGGAACGGATCACGGGACAGATGAGGAAAACCTACACTGAAGGAGCACTTGTGAAAGCCAGCCTACAGACAGATTGGAGGGCTCCCCAGCATTTGGATGGTGAAAAACAGCATCTCTGTAGACTTAATGACTCAAATATCCTGAAAAGCCTCCAGACAAGGTAGGGAAACAGTGCAGACCCTTTAGTTACGACTGTAGTGAGCGGACAATATGTTTGGCAGAGCATTCATTTTACGCCAAGACAAAAGATACAGCAAGTCAGCTTCCAAGCGAACTCTATTTCCACCTCTATCACTTGGGCTCTGGAGATGCCAAAGGAAAGAAACAGCACAAAAATCTACCTTGACATTTAACCCAGGAACTCTCTAACGGCATCCCCGCCCTGCTGAGCAGATCACAAACCCTGAAGCAAAGAGCCTCTGGAGGGAACTGCACTACTCTGGCACCTGAAGGACAGCCCTCACAACATCTACACGCAAAGGCACCCAGCAGACGTGAGCCCAGGCGCTGCTGGTTAAACGACGCACACGGAACGCGTAAGCCTTGAGAGCAGAGCATAAACAAACGCCAGAAGAAAAATAGGAGGTGCCTCAAACTCAGAACCATCTACGGAAATTTTTGGATCAAGCTGAATTCTCCTCTAGAAGCCGCCTTTGATGCGAACAGGCAGCACCAGGCTGCACGGCGCAGTGCTGCTGCCAGCCACGGGACCAGGCTGCGCACTGGCACCCCGCTGAAACACCAGTGACACACGCGAGGGCTTCGCTTACCGTCTGTGCCTTTGTGCACGTAGCTACCGGCTGGAGGCATCAGCTGCTGATGGCTCCCTGCCTCCGAGTTGCTGTAGCCTTCCTGAGGCTCTGACAGAGTTCCCTGGGAGGACAGGTAGCTGGGGATGTCTGCAGGCAGGTTCATCTCCTCTGCGGGGCAGAAATAACACTGATGACACCAACCGCTGAACGTGAGGATTTCAAGGTAGCACCAACGCTATTACCCACATCAACAAAAACGTCATCCAGAATTTCAGCTCGCACACAGTTCTCTTTTTTCTGCCTCAGTGATTAAAAATCCATATAGCGAGCTCAAAACTAACAGGGCCAGAGCAGAAATTCACACATGTTATTCCAGGCCCTGAAAAAATGTGCAAGTTTATTCAAATATTTATTTCCAAACTTTATTCTTTTCCCTCAATGTAGAATAAATCTATTGTATAAAGAATAAAGTTAACACACTTCTGATATTTAAAAAAAAAAACAAACTCTAAAATGAAGGAATTTGAGCAAATCCCTGAAGAGATTTCAGAAGGAAACCTTCAGTTCTTCAATCTTATCTATCTATAATGAACCCAGAACTTTCACCACTCTTAACAAGTGTTTTGGAGGAAAAACAGGGCTGAAGACTGTTGTTCTTTGTACTTTACCTGTGTTAGTGATGCTGTAATCTTCACTCTTCCTCCGCATGTGGTAGATCACGATAACCCACACCAGGGACGTCCCCACAACGCAGCACACCACGACAATAATGACAATGCCTACTGTGGTCCAGCCATCCTCCTCATGGACAATGCCACTCTGGGAAGAGTCACAGTTTGGGGAAGCCAGGACATTTAGGTAAATATGGCCACGCTCGGTGCCCAGCGTGTTGGACATAATGCACGTGTACTTCCCAGCATCCTCTAGTCCAGCATCCACAATGATAAGGAGTTGATTTGCCGCAGCAAAAAAATGCCGTTCTGTGACTGTCAAAGGGCCATCGTCTTTAGTCCAGTTGAGGCGAGGGGCAGGACTGCCGCCAGCGATGCACTGCAAGACAGCAGTTTCACCTCGGGTTACCGTTCTGTCTTCCAGGGGCCTAACGAAGGAAGGAGTTTCTGTGACAGCGAGGGAAAGAAAAAATAAAATGGTAAGATAACTTCTTGTGCAACATCATGGTATTTAAAAATCTGGTCTTACAACCTGAACCTGAACTTCAGCAATGAAACACGGGATTCAGGAAATCCTGAGTTCAGCTCCTCTACGGATCACTGCAGCAAATGCAGGTACAGCAAACGCCCCCAAAACCACACCAGCCACAGTCTGCTTTATGGGTTCCAGTTCTAAACTTGCATACGACCACAATGTTAAAAGTCAGTGTCTTCAAAAAACACTGCACTCTAGAAGGAACTGTCGTTCCATCGCTACTCAGCATAGCTCACGTTACCTGCGACCAAATTTGTTCTAAGGCCACACAAATTATCTACCTAGCCTACCCTGCTGGACTGGGATACGCCCCTCAGTTCTCTCCTGCAAAGATCACACTAACGTCACTGGTCAGCACTGTGCTGAGCTTCCAAAGCTTCACGGTTCAAAAACCATGCCAAGCGCTCCTCTTTGTATTCCAACCTCATTCTTTAGGACTTCAGCTGGCTGGTTACAGACAGGCTACGCTGCCAGCGCAGCAGAGAAGGGATCCGTCGCGCGCCCAGCTCACTGCTCACCTAGCACGGTCAGCGTGGCATTTGCTGACAAACCACCCGCAGTGTTTTGTGCCATGCAGCTATAGATCCCCATGTCTTCTATTTTCACGTTGGCAATAAAGAACACATCATCCTCGGGCATGACGTGCATCCTCCTCTCTCTTGCAGCAGGGAAGTCTGTGCCACCGTCTTTCTGCCAGGAGATCTGAGGAGTTGGGTGGCCCTCTGCAGCACACTCCAGCCGGGCCATCGCCCCAGTGCGGATGGTGAGATCCATGGGGGTTTTCAGGAAAGAAGGCAGCTCTGGATCAAAGCAGACACAGTTTCAGTGTTTTCAGTACCAGGGAAAAAGCAGCAAAAGCGCCACAGCCCAGAGAGTATCTGAAAGCAAACAAATCTGAAACACACCTGTAATTCTCCCTAGCAGAGAGGGGCAGATTCTTCTGAAAAACTGCAACACGTTTTTAGCAGCCACTGCTAAAAGCCTGTCCTCCAAATTTAAATACAGTACCCACACTGTTCATTTAAGATGATGTGAAGGACAACATTTCTCATGGCGAAAAGACAGGGAAAAGGTTTAGCCTTCTGCACAAGGCCTGTGCCACACTTCTTCCCTGGCAACAGGGAACGTGAACTTCCATCTCATCAGGCCAAGTCCGCACACTCTGTTCTGGACAAGCAGAGACCACGCAGGCGCCTCTGCTCTGCGATACGACGGGGATCGGCAGTCTACCGACCGACGAGAACGCTGCCTGCTTACCTCCCTTCCCTCAAGCCAAAATAAACAGAATCACTATGGCTAAAACCAAAGGACTTCTTCATAACTTTTTCAGAGTTTGTTTCCAGTCCCACCAGTTATGTTTAGTAGAATCTCCCCAGCTCTACAAACACATGGGAAAGGTGCTTAGTTCTAAAGAGACAGCAGAGGGAGCTTCGAGTTTGAGACTTCTACCTCCATTCAACCAGACGAACAACTAATTGTATTACAATGAAAGAGAGTGATCTGCCCCTTCTGAAGAGTGAACAGAAGGCTTTTCACCCACAAAGATGATGTTTGATACTTATAAATACCAGCGAGACAGCTTTGCAAGACTATTTTGGGCCAGCTCTAGCAAAAAATAGACTTGTAGCTATTTAAATAAAGTCTTGGGTTAAAAGTGTTTATCCTTTGTTACCGTTACCACTTACCATTGACAGTCAGCTTGGCTTTGTTGGAATAATTGGAGCCAAAGTGATTGGTGACGATGCACTGATACTTCCCTTCATCAGTGAAATTCACGTTGAAAAGGTGCAGGACAGTGGTATACTCGACCACCTCACCACTTTGCTGCTGGTATCTGGCAAAATTCTCAACCTCTGCATCGCACAGTACTTCACTGTCTTTACGCCAGGCGGTGGACATGGGAGAATCACTGCTGCTCACAGCAGTGCAGGTCAGAGTCACGTTCATGCCTCGCAGAGCAACTGTGGTCTCAGGATGCACTCTTATCTGTGGCTTAGGGAAATTATCTGAAAATAAAAGCATCGAGATTAGTTACTTCCTTCTTCAACTTGCAATTAATACTGCAAGAAAACTCATTTAAAAGACAACATAGGCAGAAAGAAAGCTTTGGGAACAGATGTCCTGCTTGAGGTGCACATATTCAGCTGTTTTCAGTTGGAAATCAAGCTGTGAAAGAGGATTAGAACCACAGGTAGACATACAGAATGAGCACTGAAAACAATCAGCGTAGAAGCGTGGTCTTGAGCAGCGCCCTGCATTCTGTACAACTGCCTGGACCTTGCTATGTTTAGATCACACACAAAAGCCATGCTCAGCTGAAGAGCTAGGCTATTTTACGACAGATTGAGACTTATTTTCAGATAAATATCTTGAAGAGCCTTTAAGTTCTACAAACACAAAGCACAGCAAGCTGGCTGTTCACTCTATCTCATCCCACTCGATGAGTTATTTCAGTACCCATTATTTCAGCAAAGACATTCTCGTAGACACACACAGCGTTCAGCGTCAGGCACCACGGGGGCGATACTGGAATGGAGAAGTGGGTGCTTGTGCCTCCATGATGATTTCTGTAGCCTTTACCACCAAAAGAATGCAAGAATTGCGTACACACAAGTAACACACACCAGACTGCTCACCCAGCAAATGGAACATCAGACTATTTCCAGGCTTGCCACAGACTTCACACATGACTCTGGGCAACAAGTCTCTCAGTTTTCCATCTCACAGTTCAGTGACAAAAATAAACAGGCTTATGTCTGAAACTGGTGGCAGAGACCAGATAAAAGTTACAGAGACGGAGCACTGGAAAAGGTGCCAGCGTACTAACTGCTCTGGCTTTGCTGCTACGGACAAGAACCAGTAAGGAAGTGTCAAACAGCCCTTCCAAAGCTGATGGCCCTCACAGGCAGGGAGAATGGAAGCATAGTTTTTAACAGTAACTTAAATAAAAACCAAGGCAGCCTCAGAGAATCACTCCCTCAGGTTAGCTTCAGTGCTCAAATACAACAAAACAGAGCAAAAAGAAACAGAATTAAATCCCCAGCTCCAAAGCAGACCCAGTGATGTACACAGGCCCACGTGTGCGCCGTGGCCAAGACCAAGTCCCCCCAGCAGAGCTACAGCCCGACCTCAGATTTTGTTACCACGTTTTAAGATCTAAAGTCATTAAAAATACAAACCACAGACAAAGTCATCAGGATCCACACTGAGAAGGCTTTGTCCTGCTAACCATTCAGGATGAGCACAGCTGACGTTCACAGCCTGCTGTAAACGGCTGTCGGCGAGCCACTGGGGCAGCCATTTCAGCTGGCAATCGCAAAGCAAGCTGCTAGTGTTCAAAATCCTGCAGAAACAAGGCCAAACAGAAGTGTGATTAAAGTTTATGCATTTCACATTCCTACATGTGATTTCACGCAGCAGAACACCTTAAAGCACATCCAGTCAGAAACTTCGAGATTTACACTATTCTTTCATGCTTCTAGGTACTTACTATAAAAAACGTCAGCTATATAAACAACCCAGAAAAACCTTCCCTCTATGTCAGCATTAAAACCTTACATTTCTCTTCAATTCTGAAGAAAATAACCTTTGATTTTTAACTTCCAAAAAAAAATTAAGCCTGCATTTACAATTATCCCATCCCTCTTTAAAGCAATTAAAAGGAACATATCACTCCAGAGCAGCTCTATGTCTCAAACTAAACCACTTGCCATTATGAAACGAGCGTAAGCCTCAACACTAACTTCAGGCCAGCTAATATTTAAGAATGACAGTGCTTTGTTTCACACAGGTATCTACTGCACATTGTTTTCTCCGCGCCGCAGAAAAACTGCACACGGGAAACAACGATGGGTCACTTTTCCCCCCCACCTGCCTCCCAAGTTTCCTAAACACTATGCGCAAGCACGACTGACTGGAGAAAGTCCAGCACTTCAACGAGAAGTGATCTGAGCTGCCACTAGATGAATCCGGCAGCGAGAGGAGAGGCACGCGAAGGAGCCAGGATTCCATCCCGCTGTTTGCCCACACGCACCAACGATTCCTCGCCTTTCAGACACATCAGACGAGGCAACAAAAGTCTTATCTTTAACACTGAAAACGTGTCTTCTCAAAGCGGCAGATCTTGCAGACTAAGTCCATCTGGCCGAGATTAACTAATTGAATAACAGTTTTAAAACAGATTACGCGATATTCAGAGACTCTCTCGTAGAGACGACTGCGCTACAGTAAGATTAGTCTTGGGTGTGAAGGTCACTTCCCATTATAATACTTTAAATGTCTGAGGATCACAAGAGGCTCTAGCAGCTTAAGCATCTGCTGAGCAAGTAAAAATTCTTGTCTAGCTGTGAATTTTAAAGCCTTTCCCTAGCCCCAAAATGGGAAGACAAAATGCAGGGTTTGCTAACCCCCCTGAAAGATTCCCGATGAATTATTGATTTGGTTCACTGTCTACATGCTAGGGTGAGCCGAGCCTGCCGCTGAATCATACGATATGAAAAGCTTAACGGTTCAGGACTGCAAGAAAACATTATCTTCTACTAATTGCACCTAAGGAAACGGAGGTGCAGATTTTATCAAAACCTAAATCTAAGTATACTGCTACTGACTTTGAGTTGATAATTTACCAGCATTGCTTTTAATATTTCACGATGAAAGCAGACACACTTCAGTCAACTTCAGCCAATCCCACGAAGGGTGAAGGATCCTTTAAAAGGTAGGACTTGTAAAGAATCTGTAAATAATTGTCATGAACTTACAGCTCCTTCAGGTGAGCCTGGGCAAATGCATTTTCTTGGATGGACATTACTGCATTGTTGCTTAAATCTCTGTAAGTTAAGCGAAGAGAAAAATAACGGGTAAGTATGATTTCACACGCTACCGTGAGTTAAAGTCTTGAAAATCTGACAGAGAATACAAGACGGAAGTTGGCAAATAATTAAAAGTTCTACAAAGTACAGTACTTACAGATGTTCAAGTCCTTCAAGGCCGGAGAACGCTTTTTTGGTAATTGACTTAATCTGGTTTCCTTGCAAGATTCTGAAAGACAAACCCAGAAACCAGACTGAATGTCAATATCAGTTCACAAATAAGACCTCAAAGAAGTTCCCTATGATGTTTAACTAAGTTTTTTTCTAATTCTTGCTGAGCTAAAAGATCAAATACTATTTTGTGAGCTTAAAGGCTCAACTAATTTTGCCAAGCACAGGGTTTCTTTTCCATTCTTAACTTAGAAATTTGAGTTAGGGATGTGTCAGAAGATAATTTAAATCAGCAGGATGAAACAGTGACAAGCAGAATTTGGGAGTGGAGCAATAACTTGCTAATACCAATCTGTCACAATCACATTGGTTTCTGAGACTGCACCCTCGTACCAAGCTGTTTGCTACAAGCAAGGTCTGTGGCTCCACAGGGTGGAGTTTCCTACAAAGCACATGGCACTCGATGAAACGTGCATAGTCTAAGTACTGAAAAGCTGCTAATTTAATAGCGCTTCTTATTTGCTCAAAAATACTGTGGGGTTTGGGTTCTTTTTCTTTTTATAAGCGATAGCTTCTACCCAAACTAAAGCAGCACAAATAGCGACAATCATCACACAGCAGGACAGGGCTGCTCAAGGATAAAGGCAGCCAAATAGTTACGCTTAACTTCCTCAAACTGGTGCTGCAAGGTGACCCAGTGCTACACAGATCCCATGCTCCTGAACATGGGACCCAAGCCTGGAACAAGAGGTAGCACACAAGTGGAAACACACTGAATACAGCTGCCAAGTCGAAAGGCTTTCTGCCTCGTGTCATTGATTTACAGTTACTTAATATTTTGCATTCTCCCTCTGCTCTGCATGCCTGGGAAGGACGGTCATTTCCATGGTTTGTAATACATACAGTTTATCCAACCTGCCGAGTCCCACAAACGCTTCATTTGCATCTTCTATGGCCCAGGAGATCTCATTGTTCCGCAAGTCCCTGCAGGAGAAGAGCTTTCTTATAAAGAAGCCTTCTAACATCTCATGACCACTGCTAGCGGTGAGCCAGGGAAGAAAACTTACTGGTGTACGGGCCAGCTATGGGGCTCTGGCACAGCGTCACCTGGAAGGTCTCAAATCTTTTCTAAAACCAAGTTTGTCAGAAGATGAATATCCCATTTCAGAGATGCAAGGGAAAACAGAATTGTTCAAGATGGGCGCTGCAGACAGAACCACAAACAAATTCTGCAGTGCAGCATCTTGATGTGGTATTCAAGGAAAGACCCAGCCTGACTAGCGCTCGTCATGTGATGGACTACTTGCCAGAAGCTGGGAGAGGCTCCTGAAGCAAGTTGGTGCATGTAAGTGAATTAACCAATACACCAGCAGCATTAACCTTCCCGAGTAACAGGCTTATAACAGCATTAGCATATTAAGAGATTACACACAGGTTACAGTGTAAGGCTGCCAGGCACAAAGTAGCAGATTTTCAGCATGAAGTTGATATTCTGCTCACAAATCCTGTTACCAGCTAATGGGATTTCTGCTTGACCTCTGCACGGCGCTTCGGCCCCTCACGTAAAAGAGCAGTCTGAATAGCAACGGCGATACAGCAGTATGGCTCCGAGAGGATTAAATGCTTTTTAGCGAGAAGGAGAAATAAATTCAGTTGCATTTTTAGCCTGACCGGCGCGGACTGAGCCAAGAGTTTCTGTCAAAGCCACAGTTTTCACCTGTTTTGGTACCACTGTGCACAGAATCCCCTGCAGACAGGACCAATGAAAACCAGTCTGCACTGCACTTTACCAGATCTTATACGCATCAGCTCGACTTCCAAACAGCTCAACCGACACAGAAAGCTGGCTACATCCACGGGCAGTTGTATACATCACCTCACATAAACACTTCTCTCCTTGTGCTAATGAGGATTCACCCGCTTTCCCTTGGGTGAGACTGTGGATTGCACAGAACACCATCCCAGGTACCCCCCGGACATTGTCAGTGGCAACACACGATTTTGGTTTTCTTACTTTGGAATATGGAAGTCTTGCTCCTAACACCACGCAGCAGTCATTTCCACAATTAATATCTATAGACACACTTTAAACTTCAGGACAAAATGAAGTAATTCCACGATTCATGCATCACAAGGTCTTAACAAATATGGTCTTGATACTTGCTCACACTAAGTATTTTCCTCTTTGAAACCTATTCAAGCTAAGTTACTCGACATGGACGTGATATGAGAAGAATGACCAGATGAACAATACGCCAAGTTTATTTCCAAGTTGCTAATTCTTGTGATTTGAAACTTGTTTCTAGAATTATCTCCAGCTCTGCTTCAGAATTTTAGACTGTGACTGCTGGAGGGCTATCAGTGCCCAAGCTTCTCACAGTATTACAAGTAATGTGATAAGATGTAAAACTTCAAAACTCCAGTGCTATTCTTAGACACACCTTTAATCCTACCTTGCTCTTATTACCTTGTAGTTAATACACAGTTTTACAGTTTATTCTTGTTAATTAAAGCTACATTGCAGAACAGTGGCAGGAGCTGAACACACAGAGAAATATTTACATCAGCCTCAGCACTGAAACAACCAGTATACAAACAACAATGGAACTAATCCTACAGCAACACGGTATCTCCTGCTGTTTGAAGTATTTTTACACTCCACTACTCAGAGCACTTAGCAAAACGAGTGAGCAACCCAAAAGAAAAGCCCCTCATTGTGTGAGCTGAGGAGTTGGCTCCTCATGCCTGGCTGGGCACGAATGCTTGGAGCCTTGTTAATCACCACTGCCCTCCGTCCTGCACATTCCAGCCCCAAGCAAATGGCCAGCCTCTCGGCTGTTGACGCCCCCGAGGAGCCCAGGAAAACCGACTAATTAATCTGCTCTTGTTCTTTTTCATGCTACTCTAAATCTAAGAAATTAGTTTTAATTATTTCATTAAAAGGTTGCATTAAGGTTAACAGAATATGACTGCTTACATAAATCTCTCTGGTGAGTTTGCTTATTTAAGCATTTATTTAATGAACTGACAGAGGGGTTATAAACTTTCACTCCTTTCTCAACTACCACTGTTTAGGATGATTACAATAGTTCAGATCTACTTGGGACACTTTTTTTTTTTTTATTAAGAGCTAGGATTGAATCTTTTCTTGTCAGAAATACTGGACAGCTGCAGCAGCTGCAAAAGGTGCTGGCAAGCGTGGCGCTGTGCCTCTGGCAGCAAGGGCTGACGCTACACCTCTCCTGCACGCCGTGCCTCTGACTTCAGCACATAAGCAGGGTGAGCTAAACCGTATTTTTGTCAACCAAACGGGTTCACCGCCTGGTTCCTGAGGTTCCAACCCCAACAAAACCCTCTGGAATAGAGAGAGGTCCAGCCTGACCTTTTACTCCACAACCGGCTGGCTGCCCACCCACACCTTCTCAGAACCGGTAGGACAGGCAGCGGGCACTGCAGGGCACCAAGCCAGGGCCTCTCATCAGCACTAAAATGAAGTGGTCGGTTTGTTTTAGCTGGGCCAGAACGCTGTTATCATCTCGGCAGACCAGAGGATTACCAGCCTTGCCACGCCTGCCGGCTGGACTGCAACAACAGTGCCAAGACACCGATCTCAGGCTTGCACGGTGCAATATTCAGTGTCTTTATTTCCAAAAGCTTCACGGCATTAAACTGAGATTTCAACTGGCAGTTTTCTGTACTTACAAGGTTCGAAGATTCGTCAAGCCTCTAAACACACCATCAGCAATGTGACTAATGCGATTGTCGCCCAGGTTTAGTTTCTCCAATAAACCAAGTCCCACAAAGGCAGACTCCTTGAGGCGAGTCAGCTGGTTGTACGACAAGTCTCTAGAAACATTGAACATGCACTTTAAAGGCAAGTAGGGTGGGATTAATCATGAAGATACTATCGAACTTGATTAACAATTGCATTTTGATAAATTTCTCTAACAGAACACTTACGAATGTAAGCAAAATACACAGCATTACCATGGGCCTAACAAGGAAATCCAGTACTTCCTCTGGCAATTCGCTCTTGCTACATATGTCCTACCCAATCTGTTACTGCAACATTGCAAAATCTGCAACAAAAAGCAGCCCAGGACTTACAGCTCAGAAAGTCTTTGGCAGAACTCCCATGCATCTGGACTGATCCTGTTAATGGCATTCTGGCTAACATAGAGTTGTTGCAATGTCCGCAGACCGTACAGCCAGCCCTTGTTTACTTCTGTTAAGTTATTATGTTCCAGTTCTCTACGGAATTAGAAGGAAAAACATTTGCCAAATAGATAATCAATGAAACGTGTATTTACAAAATTTCACCTTGTGGATCTCAAGATGATTTACTAACATTAAGCCTTAGGCAACCTGAAACGCATGGAAGTATACGAAGAACTGAGTAACTCAACAGCTGCAGCGACCCAGTGGCAGAAGCAAAACAGTAATCTCTGTTCTCAAAGATTACTTCTTTTTTTAAAAATCTTTTGCTAACACTGCACGGCACACCCTCGCGTTATCTCTGTCACAGTCACACAAGAACCATCCCATGTCATGGGCAGTGCAAATGAAAACCAGCAAAAAGCAGCCAACAGAGTAAAAGTGTTCTTGATCACCAAGGGGGAAGGAGTTGGGGAGAGGGACGATTATGCTTCCACCTCTGAAGTAACCATACATGATACCAAAATAACGGGAAAATACAGAGCTGTAAACTCATGTCCTGTGATGCTCACCAGTATCCCAGCACAGCCTCGACAGAAGGGAAGCCACACAGGACAACCCTCCACAGCCAGAGTCCCTAAAAGAAATTCCATGACGAGGAATACTCACAATTCTTCTATATTACCCAGGCCAAAAAACGCTCCATCCATGAGTCTGCTAATCCCATTGCGCTGCATTTTCAAGGATTTTAAGGATTCCAGTCCTTGGAACGTAAGACTTTCCACTATTTTAATCCGGTTCCTTTTCAACTCCCTTTTACAAAGAGAACATTCGAATATTAACACACCTTCCCAGAAGTACCACTGTGTGAAAGTCAAGGACACATACGGGGATGAACAACAGCTGTACACGCCGTGGTTTTAAGCTGTCGAGACTGCTACTTACAGGAACTGCACGTGAGGCAACTTGAAGATCTTTGGTGGAATCACACTAATCCTATTTCTGTTCAGCTTCACCACCATTAGTGAGCTAGATAAGTTATCAAGACACCCTGCTTCTAGAGTAGTTATTCTGTTGTTACTCAGATTCCTAGGAAAGGAAGAGGAACAGAGGCCTTTCAGAACACCCAGAATTTTACGAACTCAACTGCACAAGCAAGTTGGAGCGATCACTGATTATTAGAACTCAAGTCCCTTGTGAAGTCGCATCACAAATGCGCATTCTGGTACATCAAACTAAATCATTTTCCCCAAAGGAATCCATGCTAGGAGACGATTTTTACTGCATGCCCATGCTTTAGTCAGACATGGTTAAGGCAATGTCAGCAGAGATCTCCTCAAAATGGGCAGAAATCATTCCACGTCCCCGACGGCTGAAGTACCTGCACTTTGACAACAGCAGCTCTTGTTTTCCGTATTATCTGAGAAAATGCAATATAGATCGGTACGGAAAGTATTTTATTTCAAGCGCATTTGTAGCTACGTTAAGCACTGCTACCAGTTCACAGCCATGCATGGCTGCCCACTTTAAGACAGTAATTTAGAGCAGATGAGGTCTTTGACATTATGGTTGTGGAGCCAGGAACCCCAGACATAACAAACCGCTCGTACTTACAGGTACTTCAGTTGCATCCGTGGAAAAGAAGAAGCTTTAATTTCTGAGATAAGATTAGAACTAAGATCTAGATTTTCCAATGAAAGGTAAACTTGGAGTTGCTCAGCATTTATTTCTGGGATTGTATTGTGTACCCTGAAAAATACCAGCAACAAATATGATTATCAAAACATCCCGTCCTTCAAGTTGCACAGCTGAAACAGGTACGGGATTCTGCATATCAGCTTTATTAGCAAGCCTCTTAAATGGGACACGTACCATACACTTCAAAGTGTTAATTCCTAAAGCAATTCTGAAAATCCAGGAGCTATTTGCCACCTCGACTTATGAATAGATTCAAATTCTGGGGTCTGTAGCTGGGCTGTTCCTTGTGGGAACTGTCATTCCTAGGCTGAATCCCTCCCCTTCAAAGCTGCCTGCCTTGGTTGACTGCATTTTATTGGTAATTTAGGGTGACTTGATTGTCTAGCTGATTTGTATTTCTTTAGAGTGCCTACATATTCCCTAAAGCACTTTAGATGAGCAGTATTTCAAGACAAAAGACGCTATGTTTTCCTACAACTTGATAGCAGAACTCTAATACAATTCTCCCATCCGTTAAACAAGAAAAAGGCAGACAAGCTATTACTTACAGTGAGAGGAGAGTTATATTAGAAGTCGTTTCTCCAAAATACGGAATTTCACTTAGCTCATTGTAGTTCATTTTCCTTAAGGAACAAACAAACAAAAGAGATTACTGGCACTTCGAAGAGGAGAAAAACCCTTCTGAAAGCAGCAGAAATAACTCGTATCACAGCACGATTTTATATTGATACTACTTAGTAGTTGACAAAAAAGATTCCCTAAAAGCTTAAATACTAATAATTTGAACAATTTAATAGTGAAGCATGTTAGTTTTTACCACTTTCATGATACTATTACTTCTCTTTAACTTAGAATCAGCTATAGTCAAATAAACACGTCTCACTTCTTTTTAAAAATATTGGTCTTCTAGTCTTTTATGAAAAAGTTTTCTGAACACAAAGCATCAGTTTTAGACCTAGAATGTGCTGCCAACACAGAGCATCCATTTTTAATTAACTGGCACTGAATATTTCCACAAGTCAGACCAGCTATCTAGACATGCAATGGAATGTACTAATTAGAATTAGGTAGGATCTCTCATGAAAAACAACTTACACTTCTTGTAGCGTATGAACGGACAAATCAATGCTCCAGTTGGATGACAATAAATGATTATGACTTAAATCCCTAGAGAACAGAGAAAAAAGTTATTCTGGCTCCTGGAATAATAATAAAAAAAACCCCAAACAGGTATGCTTTAGGCAACCTATAAGTTTTAAACCACACTCATGACAGATAAAATTCCTCCTTCCCCAAAGCAAGAGGAGATCCCTCCCAGCCTGTTCTAGTGGTCACTCACAACCAAAGCCTAAACAGTTCTATTTCTCTGTTTGAATCAAATAACTTCTCGAAAGAAAGAACACACCTGACCAGAGCATTTTTCCATTAAGTCACAGCTTTATAGACAACACTTGCCTATTCCAAAAAAGAAAAACTTTCCAGGGACGCACAAATAATCTCTCACAAAATCCTGTTACTGAACTGTTCCCTGTAGCACCGATCCCCATTTCTCAGCCTGCCCAGCTTCTCAAAGAGGCTGACTAGTCAAGGCAGGCTTATTTTAAGGGAACAACATGCACATAATTACCAAACAAGCTGGAGGGGAGAGAAAGACGAGGCTGGGAAGTTTAGAGAAGGCATGCTTTAGTGTCAGTTATAGGAAACAATGCAGGACTTGGATTGTTCCAACGGACAAGGGAGTCACCAAATCGGTTTTCAATGCCCATACTGGATGTTCGTGCCATTCCCATTGCTTTAACTTTACAGCGGTATTTTACTTTTGCCTTGGACTTGGTGCACAAAACGTTACAGGACAAAAACTCACGAGCTAACCCTTCGGGCACAGACTGTCTCTACTGGGTGACATGACCAAAAAAAAAAAATCCGTCAGGTTTGTGATGGAACCCTGGTTCCAGCCGTACCAGCGAGGGCTGACAGACGTCACTCCAAACAGTGAAACCAACTCCTCTTTCGACGCCTTTCTGGCACAAGTCCAGAGCGGAGATAAACCCCCGAAGCCGCTGCCGACAGCCCGAGCCGTTGGGTGTGGGAACAGGCCAGGCACCGCCACCGAGCTCCTGCACCACCACTCGCACCCCCAGACACCTGCCGACAGGCGCGTCTGGACCTGGGCGCCACCTATCAAGTCAAAAGTCCGTCTCTGCCAGCCCTGCCTGTCAGCACGGCACCGCGCTGCTCGCTCCGTTTCCAGTTCTGACATCAAGGACAGAGCCATAATGAGTGACTTTCAGCAAAGGCTGTTCACCGCCTGATGGGTGCCTCTGCCATGGTCCTGTATCACCCATCCTCTTGCGTGATTGCACACAGTTATCACGGCCAGCTTTAAGATCATCAGACAGGCTGCAGCGACGCCGACATGAGAGACAAAATTATCCTTTAAGAACAAAACTACCATGTGTCTGTTAAAAAGAATATTAAAATGTAACTGATCACAGTCAAAAATATTTCTGTTGATCACCAGGCTCGGGCAGTCACAGCGCCCACGCGCTCGTCTGCTCTTCCAATGGCTCTGGGCCTGTGGTCGACTTCAACCACCCCGAGGGTCAAACCTGTACAGACACAGAGCTGCCCAAACACCCCAACTAGGGGAAGAAAAGAAACTGTACTGGTGCCCCTAACGAAGAAGGGGCTGCAGCACAAATTTAAACCCTGCTGAGCACCAGTAAGCGTCCATTGGTGGGTGTTAATGCTGCCACAAGAACCCCCGCGCAGGGAAGACTTGCCGCCAACCAGAAGACAGCCTGAGCAGGACCTGGTTTTATTCACCCCAGCGCTCATGGCACTACCGATAGACTTTTGATCTGAAAGACCAGAATCTATCAGGAGAGAACAAGGACTTGACAGACTATTCGTTGTTAACTTCCACTCAGGCTCAGCAATAAAGATCCCGTTCTAGCAATGAATTATTAAAATCCTGGGTGTCATGGCAAGTCAGACAGTTGTTAATATATTCTTTTAATTACATCAAGATGTAAATTATACAGATACAGCAGCAAACAATTAAAAAAAAAAAAAAAGAATCAAGAGAACCTGGGGAAGAGAACAATGCACGTGCAGCCACAGAACGCTACTCCGCAGGCCCGCTCCCTCGATACACGCAGTAATTAAACCTCTCCTAAATGCCAGTAACACTAAAAAACACCAAGTATGAGCTGCTCCTAGGGCAGCCTTCCCATGTCAGGGGAGGCTGAGCACCCAGGACACCCCTGGGGCTGTCTGGATCCACCCTGCACACCACAGCCGGAGCCTGGCTCAGCCCTGGGGCGCTGGACATGCCACGCTCAGCAGAGGGGGCGGCGAGCGGCCACACCGATCCCAAATCCCAGGGGAAGGCTCTTTCAAACATGCAGGCACCCAGCCAGTGCTGAGGAGACTAATCTTGGCAGCAGTGGGTTTAACCAGACCAGGAGTACTAAGCCACACTATTTCCAAAGGACTTGAGCGCAATCCATGGAGGAAGGACGAGACAATGGACACAGAAGATAAGAACACACTCCCCAAGGTGTCCAGATACTGCACTGATGAGCAAAACCCCGTCATGGGTGCTGAGCCAGACCAACCTGTGTGTCAGGCATGGTTAGCAGAAGATCTCGGGAGTCAGATTAATATGCAAAGAAAACAGAAACTCGATTTTTCTAATGCTTTCAGGAAGAATATCACAGAATAGAATATTTCAGTTGCAAGGGACCTACAACGATCATCTAGTCCAACTGCCTGACCACTTCAGGGATGACCAAAACCTAGAGCAAATTATTAAGGGCACTGTCCAAATGCCTCTTAAACGCTGACAGGCTTGGGGCCTGGGTGATGAGACCTGCTAACGTTCAGGTATCCCCCCAGAAGCCTACTGTTTTATTACCAAGTCAGAAATTAATGTCTTAATTTAAAAACCCCAGGAAAGTATTTTTCTATTATTACTCAGATTTGAACTACAAGAAAGTTTTCATTAACAGAAAGTCCTCTTTCAGGAAGCTGGGTACAGTTCATACTCAGCTCTGACATACGTGTACCTGGTTACTGCAACTGATGCTTTTCTTTTTGAAACGGACTGACGCCTAAACACAAAGTGAAACACCTTGTCTGATTTTTTGTGTCTATAGATCATTCCATCACACAGCTGAGATTTCTGCTATCGTGTGGAACGAGATACAACTCCCTTGCCCTGAAGGAGCCCAAACCGAAGAACCCATCATTGTTGCACTTGCATTTTTACTGGGAGGCCCGTGTTACGCAAGACAGAGCAAACAGGCAAAATTTGTATTTGAGAGACTCATCTGGTATTGTATATAAAACCTTCTAAACATTCATTTTGAGCTGAAGTGGTATTCATCTCTCAAGTAACTAAAGCAGAAGGCACACACCAAACTGATTACTGCACACTCAGTCCTGCAGAACGATCTTAACTCAGCCCAGCGGAGCAGACCGCTCCCTCGCAGGGCACCGCGCTGGCGCAGGTGTCGATGCAGCAGCACAGCCAGCCAGTCAACCTGAAAATACACAAGCTCACCCAAAAACCTGTTGTGCATGGAACCTGCCAAACTAATTAGCTGACAGCCAATCTACTTTTATTCATTGTCTCCCTAGTTAACAGGGTATAGAAACACACCTTCAGGCGCCAGGATAGGACTGGAAGGCAGTGACCACCAGCACCGTGCTTCCCTTCCCCCTGCGGATGACTGCCCTACAACCTGCGCTTGCATCCTTGGTCTAAAGAATGTAACATTAAGATGCAGACATATCAAAAATACTTGCTAACTCCTTAGCTGCCCTACCCTTTTCATCACCCGCCAGGTTATCCACAAAACTTGTGTAATTTAGGAGGAAAAACGAAGTTACAGTTGCCTGAAAACAAGTTCTGAAGGTGCTCTCCTGGCCTTATTAGAAACAAAAGCCCCAAACAAAACCAACACCACCCCCACCCC